GGCCCCGGACGGCCCGCGGACCCCTGAGAGCTCTCGACAGGCCCGGCTACGCCGCCACGCCAGCCATGTTTATATAGCCACGCGGAATTTTCGCGCAGGCGCACAGCTAGCGCCGCCGCCCGGGGCTTCCCCGGAGTCCGGACTCCTGATTGGTCACTGAGCGGAATCGCGCTCCTGACGTCAATAGGGACGGCTCGGGAGGGCGTTAAAACCTTCCCAGAATCTGGAGCGCGCGGAGGTACGGGTTCCAGAGCCGTCACGTGCAAGGGGAAATGCGGCATCCGCCTGCCTCTCCTCGGTATCCTCTCTAGTGTTTTCCGGCTAATCGCAAACCAGGCTTTCTCCAGGTTTCTATATTTTTAAAGGAAAGATGTGGAGGGCTGATTTAGGAGAAGGTAGAATAATGCGATAAAGTAGACAGTCACGTTTCTCCAGTGTTAAAACACTGATCACTCAAAAGCCTCCCTAAAATTAGCATTACGGTTGACATTGTGACCAAGATTGGTGCATCATCTTGTCTGTATAATGTGCCTTTTTTCGTATTTTAGAGTTGAAGCGGCTAAAATCTAAAACAACTTCCCCTCCTCCTGGCTGATTTGTCGGTCTCTAGGTGGTTCTAATTGCGGTGCAATTTGAATAAGAATATGCCAGGCGGATTAGTGCAGCACACTTCTGCGGGTCTAGACCCTCCCTGCGTGCGGGTGGCACCAACCAATAAGCTGGTACCCTGGCTGGAATTAAAAGGAAAAGAAGCCAGGCGGAGCGCCCACGCCTATAATCTCAGCATCTGGAGGCTGAGACAGAGGGATCCCTGCAAGTTTGAGGCCAGCCTGGATGGACTATGGCGTGAGTTCAGGGCCTCACTGAACTACAGAAAGAGAAGGGGAAGGAGTACGTCTCCCTTTTGCTCGTGCCGGCCCCTTCAACTTCTATGCGGACTTCTCCTTCCTGTGAGTCCCTCCCGACTCTGCAGGGAGCTCTCGGCCCTACACTTTTGACAGTGACCTCTGATTCTCTGGCACAGACACCCCTTTGCATTCTGCACCCTCTTACATAGCTAGCTAGGTAGGGAAATGGACGATAGAGATATATAGATATTTTAAATATTAAATCTCTTCTAGTGATGGGAAGAAAGGAGCTAAAGGTGTAGGGAAGGTGGGATGGGTATGGGAAGGGTAATAAGGGAAAAGAAAAAAAATGTGAGAGAATGAAAAGATGAAAATAAAGTGTAGATGGGGAGGGGAGGAGGGGGTGAAGGGAGGGCAGGGGTAAGGGGAAAAAATGAGAATCAAGACTTGTCATGTAGAGGTACAAGATCCCGACAATGAATGTAACTGTACTGTATCCCTAAAATGTACCAATAAACTCAATTAAAGCTGAAAAAATATATATAGAATTTTAAAAATCTCTTCTAGTGAACTCTGATCACCTTTAAGCCTATTTAAATTATTTTCAAGTCTATCGTCTGGAAAACTGGGACAGTGTCTTTTGATACTTTTGTCCTTAAATTCTAGCGCTTAAATTCAATCAATTGAAAAGAGACCCCCCCATTCCATTATAATTTACCGCATCACTTGCCTTCCAGTACAGGCCTCCAAGTGGAGTTTGAGAGAAGAAAACTAACTCCTTGCGCTTGTTCTGTGTGCTGTTCTCCAAGAGATTTCTTCTCTTTTATTCTGATGTTTTTGTTTTTGTTGGGGGCGGGGGATTGGTATGGGGATCCAACTCAGGACCTTGCACTTGCGAAGCGACACCACTGAGCTAAATCCCCAGCCCCTGTTTTGTTTTTAACAATGGCTTCATTTCACTGATTTACAAACTGCAGCTCATAGAATAATATATGCAGGGATTCAAACCACTCTGTAAGATGCCAAACTAAAACCTTCCTTAAAGTTCCAATGCCTGATTCATCAAGTAGCCTACACTGGCTCTGGCAAAATGCCATCTGCAAAAGAGGTATTTAAAAATATTTGCCAAGTGGTTAAATTTGTAACATTTTCAGCGAAGCAAAGTGCAGTAGATTTGAATCTTAGATCTACTCCTCCTGGCTTAAGAGCAAGTGGTTTGGCCTTGATTTTTCTGTCCAGACAATGTAGGTGGTGAAGAGTGGAAACCTACTAGGTGATCAAAGTACTGTATAGTTCAATAAACAGGACAGGCAGATTCAGTTTGCTTTGAGGATTCCCTTTTTGTAAATTTCCATTGGACTCACCCCAACTCATAAACTTTAGTTATGCAATTAAATAAAATTATGAAGAGGCTTCATTGAGATAATACTGAATATAATATTATATATTTTCTTTTTAAGGTGACTTACACATTTATTTTCAGTACTAGAGACTGAATCCAAGCAGCACTAAGGTACACCACCCGACCTTTTTATTTTATTTTTTAAATTTTGAGACGTTCCCCCTAATTTGCCCAGGCTAGCCTGGAATTTGCCGTCCTCTTGCTTCAGCCTCCTGAAGTAGCTGGGATTACACGCTAATTATTTCTTTATAATTTGCCTGATTGATGGGAATTTAAATTTTCTCAAAAAATATACTCCTGGCTGGGTGTGGTACACACCTATAATCCCAGCAGTTGAGAGACTGAGGCAGGAGGATCAGCTGAGTTGGAGGCCACCTTAGGCTACATAGTGAGTTCAAGGCCAGCCTGAACTATAAAAGCTAGACACTATCTCAAAAAACAAAACAAGGGCCCAGGATTTAGCTCAGTGGTTCCGCAGCCTGCCTCACAAGCACAAGGTCCCGAGTTCAATCCTGGTACCAACAACAATAAAATATATTCCTCTCTACATAGTACTAGTAACCACTGTCCTGTATTTGGGCTTTACTAATGGTAATGTTTACATTTCCTTCCTATGAAAACTTACTAAAACAGGACACTTAAGGGACAAAATAATGCACTTTAGAGTTCTATGGAAGAAAGAAATAATGAAGGAAAGGAATAATTTGATATTATGTTTGCCTGAAAATATTTGTAAAATACAAGATGTTAAAATATACTTATTTGTTGACATTTAAAATAAGGGTCTGTGTGCTACATGTCTACATATCCTGCTCGTCAAATCAGATGATGAATTGTAACTGAAAAAATGCAAAATTAGTACTTCTAATACTTCATCATTTGGCACACACAAGAGGAAAATTTAGCAGGGATGGACAAAAACAAAGGCCAAAGGAGCAGGCATTAGAAGGATAGTGTATAAAGGCTGATTAAAAAATATGGGGTGTGCTTATATCTTTTAAATAATTTATTAGAATAAAAGACACATTGCCATTACTCCCCCTCAAAATACTCCCCTCGCTTTGAAAACACTTATTCCATCTTCCCATTTTACTTTTTTTTTTTTTGGCTTTGTTTTGTATTTTGGAGACGGGGGTCTGGCTGTATAGTTCTGGGCTTGAACTCACTATGTAGCCTAAGGTGGCCTCCAACTCATGGTGATCCTCCTGCCTCAGTCTCTTGAGTACTGGGATTACAGGGATGTGCGCCACCACACCTGGCTGTTGGCACTTTCTGAATCAATTTCAAGAGTGTTTTTGCAAGGTATTAAAAAAAACAACAACAAGATTGAAAACTGCTGTCCAGTGCCACCCAAGAGAAAGGCAGGCTCAAAAAACATTACACTTCAATGCATCCTCATTCACGTTATTTACTACACCTGGCATCATGTGACTTCTGGCTCTTCTGCAAAGTCAAAATGACCATGAAAGGTAAATGTTTTTAATCTATTCAGGGCACAGGAGCACCGTGGCTAGGTTACCAAAGACACTCATGAAAGAAAACTTCCAGAACTGCTGCAGAAAGTGCAAGAACAATGGGATAAGTGTGTATTGGGAGGGAGATTAATGACACAATGCCTTACTATAATAATTGTTTTAAATTTAAACATTCACTGTATTTTTATCACATCTTAAAAATTATTCTGATCATCCCTCTGAATTTCCAAACGCCTACATTTTGTTCAGAAACTGAATCAAAGCTGACTACTCTGTAGAATTTGAAGGGGAAACCTGTACATCTGTGAGGTGAGACTCATGCACACAAAAGAAATCTGCAGTATTCAAAATCAGTACAAAAAGTCAATAGCATTTGTGTACACTAAACTCACTGAGAAGGAAATTAGGAAAACAATGCCATTCACAATAGCATCAAGAAAAACTAAATACCTAGAACTTAGCATACCCAAGGAAGTGAAAGACCTCTACAATGAAAACTTACAGTACTCTGAAATCAAAGAAAGTGAAAAAGACTTGGAAAATAGAAAGATATACCCTGTTCCTCAATGAGCAGAAAGAATATTTTCAAACCACTGTCAAAGCTGATATAGGTCATCTCAATCAAAATACCAGTAACATTTCTTACAGAACAAGGAAAAACAATCCTAAAATCTCTCTTACGGGTATAGACTAGTTGGAGCCATGTCCTTGAAGGCAAAAGGGACTGGGATCTAGTGCACAAGTGGAGGACTCGAGCTTTGATACAAGTAATAAACTACTCATCTATAGGAACAGAAGGGACTCTCTTGGCCTCTCTTGCTGGTAGGTGGATATTTATGACAGTGGGAATTTGTATAAAGTGTCTTCTAATGTTTCTCCCTTCCACTAATCCAACCCATGCCCCTTGCTGTTTTTAGGATTATATTATTTCTAAAGTGCAAATGGAATTAAGTATCTCTCCCACTTAACACCTTTTAACATCTTCCCGGTACCCACAGGATAAAAGTCTCACGTAGTACGTGACATAAAAAGTTCACTATGATCTGGCACCTGCTAAATTGTGCCAACAGTCTCACTCTGCGTGTTCCCATGAGTACCTTCCACGGGCATCATCGATAAGGACAGGAATTCCTCAAATGTCCCAAGCTCTTTCACCCTCATGCCTGGGCCTATATGGTTCTACCTCCTCTCGAAAATCTTCTTCATTTGAGACCCATGTTCTACCCGGCCAATTCCTGTCTGGCCTTCAAAAGTCAATCATCTACTTTAGCTGCCCTGAATGAATTCAGTAGCTCTCTTTCTTCACTCCTAGCACTTCCTTCACTGTAGTGATCAGGTTGTTTTTCTTGTCTATCATCTCCCACAAAACTGCAAATTTCCTTATCACTGAAACAGTGAGGTTTGTTGCAGGACCACAAAAGAGGACCTAGTATATAGTAGATACTGTACAAGACCACTTCTGTGACTGTTTCCTACCCCACACTCAATCTTTAGATCAGTGATGGCAAACCTTTCAGAGCATTCAATGCTGCAAGCAGCCTGCTATATTAGCCCAT